TCTCCACCAGTGTCCGGCACGGCTCAGCATTGTTGTGGACGAGTTGTCGCTGATGACGATGTTGAGTTCCGTCCAGTTCGTCATGTATGGGGTGGCACGTTGAGCAATTTCCCAGAGCAGAGGGCCATTGTCAGTCTCATTGTGCAAGTCGACCTCGAGAAGATAAAGATTGAGAAAGTTGATGTGGACGCGCCGCGGATCACCACCGCTGAGTACACATCGACATCCACGCTCTTCAAATGCTATGACATCCAAAAAGAGGCTGTGAAGTTGGTGGGCCGTGCAGATGCTCAATGCGGTGCGGGGAAAGGGGCGGGATAAATGGTGGTAGAAGTCCCTAGACACCGTGCGCAGGGCAAGGACTTCATGGAGGTCAGAGTCGCCCTGAACCTCATCTTTGTTGTAGCACTGCCATGGCAGACAGCAGGCACGGCCAATGAGGGAGAGGAGCTCAGGTGTGTCGAGAACGCGAGTCGTGGCCATGGTGGTGCGTGTGTGAAACAAAAATGAACATTGACACATCATACATCGACACTACGCATTCCCACGGTTGAACGTGCATCTCAATTGGAACCTGGATGTGCAGCGTCTGTTAGTACATCATGCACTTCACAGATAGGTCAAAATAATGTGCGTTCACCAGTGATTTTCAATATTGATTAATATGTTTTCCTAAAGCCTACATGATTTTTCAGATCAAACTCCAGGTAAAAAGACAACATCAGTGTGACTCACCTATCGTCCACATGTCTGCTCCCTGGACAGATCCATCTTGTCCCCATATTGCCCACCCAAGCAGGCGAACATCCCGCCCAAAGTCTGGATCATGTTGAACAGCGGTACGTGCATCCTCATTGTACTTCAGCATGAGCTGCATCATATTTTGACTTATGAGCGATAGTGGTGTAGGAAAAACGGTATGGACCGTCACGCCTTGCACAGTACTCGTAGCAAAGTCTGCGTAGGGACGGGAGCTCTTTGTATGTTGCCATAATGCTTTCACGCTCTGCCCGCCGAAGCTCCTCTTCATGAGAGCTCAGGTAGGCCTGAAGACGCTCTAGCTGGTGTGTGGGTGAGAGGTCGGCTTGTGGGTGAGGGTAGGAATGGAAGGGGAATGTGATCCAGGTGTCGGCCATGGTGAGAGTGACGAGATCTGGATACAACTTGAGGGAAATGATCCATTGATCAAAGGAGTTCCAAGGGCTGCCATGATGGATTTCCCCATAGAACTGAACCGTGTTAGATAGGTAATATGATAAGACTGGAACAGGCGCACCAACAGAAGTCCAGGATGCACATTCAAGACCTCTACCCCACTTGCCTGCCCACCTGGCCACCATCCCGCGATCAGCGACAATGTCAGCCCTGAAGTAAGAGAGTTGATTGGAATGGTGATCTCTCGTAGACGCATATAGGGGAGAGCCTGGTTGGCGAGTGATCTAAGATGATCCCAGCTCTGGCCGACTGAGTCCTGAAAGCAGAGCTCCACAACCTGGAGAAATGGACGGTGTTCTGATTTCTCTTGGAGACCACACTTGCAAAGACCATGTTCAAAGCCGATGACCGCGAGGAACAAAGCTTCTAGGACCTTTGGGGATGAAATGGAAACGGAAGCCGAGGGAAATGGTGGAACAAGTGAGGCATAGAATGTGCGGTTGACCCGACGCAGAGATAGCTGCCACAGAAACAAAGATTTGTCATAAGCAGTGGCTTCAGGAGCTGGATAATCATCTGCAAATTTCTTCAAAGAGGACCACGGGCTGCAAGACCATTTAGCGATCTCTAGAAGAATGTCGAAGGGCAAGTCAATCATTGGCGGACACAGAAATTGGAGCGTGGCACAGAGTCAAACATCCTGTCACCCAATTTCAAATGCATTGTCACATTGGTTTGGCAAGATAAGCACAGCAGAAGGACCTGGTCAGATTGTGACCGGAAAGGCCATGTTTAGAAAGGGTTTGTAAGTAGATGGCAACATATAAATGTCATTGCTGTAGTGGCGGCGCACTGACCTCTTATACCTCGCCCACCCCGTATACGCACACCTTACGCGTTTGCTTCCCACTCACCCTTTGTTACTTGTTAATACACCACGCAAATGCGCTGTTCGCCTGCTGCTCTCATCTTGCTTACTCGCTCGACTCGCTCGACTCCTGCGTGCTCCCTAAGTGTCCGTCGCTCAGGCACCAAATCTCATGAATGTGGCATTGTGGGGTGAGCATCAAGGGGACTGTGACACCACATTGTGGCAATATTGGGAACAGGAGGAGTCCGAGCTGGACACATACATTGTTCATTTTCTAGCGACCGGGTAAGTTACATTCATAAAGGGCTTGAACGTAGACGGGGCAATATCAACCAGATCTCCAGAAGCCTGTAGTACGTTCAATTCACTATCTGGGTAAGGAGGCAAAAGGGGAGGGGGAGGAATAAGGTAAAAATGACTTGAAAAAAAGGGATCTATCTCGTAAACAGAAGGGTACTCATCAAGTGGTCTGGTATACTCCCACCCCGAAAGATCCTCCTTTCGAATTGCAGTCTGCCAATGCAAATGGTTATCAGAAGAGCGGATAACATAAAAACAACGGCCAAAGTAGGGGCTGCGGAACTCATTGGCATCAAAGCGGGCGTGAAGATGAGGATATGTAG